CCATGGAATGGGATCACCCTTAGGATCCCTTCCAGTCCAAGTCTGTGTGTCCGTGGGCTCAGGGAATGTTGGGAATTCAGCTCTGGGAATTCAGGAGTGCCCCAATCTCCTTCCTCCTGCCCGTGCCCTGCTCCATAGGGATAAAATTGGGATAAGAGCAGGGTTTGCAGTGCCCATCCCTGGGGAATCCAGAGCTGTGCTGGCTTCTTCCTTGTCCTTTTCCTTCCCGCCCTTTTTTCCCGCCATTTTCCCCTCATGATTTTTCCCCCGCCATTTTTGTCTCCCTGTTTTTTTCCCTTCCCTCTCTTCCTGCCCTTTTCTCCTTTCCCTCACCATTTTTTCCCCTCACCATTTTGGTTTCCCTCTGTTTTTTCCTTTCCTGCCCTTTTTCCCTCACCATTTTTTTCCCTCGTGATTTTCCTTCACCATTTCTGTTTCCCTCTGGTTTTTCCCTCCCTTTTTTCCTCTCCCGCCCCTTTCCCACCCTCTTTTCTTCCCTCACTTTTCCCCCACAGCTTCCCTGGAAATCCTTTGCCTTGATTTTCTAGGAATATCCCCAGTCCTTTAAAACACTTTGGATTGAATGGGAAAGAACCCAGAATTGGGAATTTTGGGCGAGCTCGTGGCAGGATTGGAATATCCAATATTCCAACAGCCAGGAAAAGCAGGAATTGTCAGGAGTGGGAGCAGCCAGGGCTCCTGGGAATATTTGTGCCCAGTATTTCCTTATCTTGGAACCCTCTGGATAAAATTCCAGCAGGAGTGAGGGGAATGCAGGAGAGGAGTGGGAAAGGACTCGGAGTGTGGGAAGGGACTTGGAATTCCATGGATTCAAGGGTGGCTGAACATTACCCAGCTCGGAGCTGCAGCAGGGAATTCCAGAGGGCTCTTCCCAGTTTTATTGAATTTAAGGAGCAGGGAATTCCTGGGAATATCCCAAGGTTTTAATGGATTTAAAACAGAGAATGAAAACAGAATTAAATTGGGATTTAGGGACGATTGTTGTTGGTTTTCACTTAAAAAAGGGGAATATTTTCCTTGTCCCCAGAGCAGGAGCTGGAGCTGAACAATTCCAGCCCTGGCTCCCTTCCCTGTTTGCTGGGAATGTTTTCCTTATGGAGCTGCTGGACACTTGTGGGAAGTTTCTGCTGGATTTTGGAGCATCAAGCTGGAATTTTTAGTGTTTTATCTGGGAAGCTGTGGAGCAAAGGAAAAGGCATCAGGCTGAGGGGGTGAAGGAAAAGGAGCAGGAAAAGCCTGGGAAGTGGTGATGGATGGGCAGGAGTGGGAATATTGAGGAACAGACACAGGGAAGTGGGTCTGGAAAAATCCACTTCCATTCCTTCCTTCCCAGCTGGGATTCTGGGCGTTTTTCCAGTGGATTATGAGGAGAAGGTGGAGTCCCAGCCGGAAGGGAATCCAATATTCACTTGAATATCCAATGTTCAATTTCCTGCATCCTGGGAAATGCATTTGAGGAGGGATTAAGGAATTTCCGTGTCTGTGCGGAATTTTCTTGGAACTGCTGGAACATCCAAAGCTTTTCCCTCTCCCGACCCTCCCTTCCCTCTCCCAGGCTGCTCACAGAGCTGGAATCTCCCTCCTGGTGGCCCTTCAGCACCAAACTCTGGAAAAACCCCGTGGAAGCAAAACCCAAGGAAACCCCGACGGCTCCCGATCCCAAAATCCAGGAGGGAATCCTGCTGCGCATCCCGGTGATCATCACGCACAGGACGGACTCCGGCGCCAAACCCGGCCAACTCACGGTGCTGCCCTCGGGCCTGGAGATCCGGGATTGCAATTCCCAGCTCCTGCACCGCTTCGAGGCGCGGGACGTGGACGACATCCGCGTGCACACGCCCTACGAGATCAGCGTGCGGCAGCGCTTCATCGGCAGGCCCGACGTCTCCTTCCGCCTGCTGGCCGCGCGCATGCCCCAGGCCATCCCCCTGCTGCAGATGCAGTTCAGCAAGAAAATCCAGTTCCTGGAGGATGCTCTGGGGTTTGCCGGAGCCAGCAAGTCCCCTCAGGCGGATTTGGGGACGTCCATCTGGCAGGCAGGTGGGTGCCAGGGGGTTCTTTTCCCAAGGAACATTCCAGAGGCCAGGGTGAGTGAGTCCATGGTAAACCCAAGGGATAAATTCGAGGTGGCTTTAGAGCGTTTGAGACTGCTGCTTTTCCTGGAGTCAATTCCCAGCTTAACACCTAATAATTACTATCTAATGCCCAATAATTAATATCCAGTATCCAGTGTTTACTATCCAATATCCCATATCCAATATCCCATATCCAATATCCAGTGTTTAATATCCAATATCCAGTGTTTACTATCCAATATCCCATATCCAGTATCCAGTGTTTAATATCCAAAATCCCATATCCAATATCCAGTGTTTAATATCCAGTGTTTAATATCCAGTGTCCAGTGTTTAATATCCAGTATCCAGTGTTTAATATCCAATATCCCATATCCACTATCCAGTGTTTAATATCCAATATCCCATATCCAGTATCCAGTGTTTAATATCCAATATCCCATATCCAGTATCCAGTGTTTAATATGAGGCGGATTTGGGGACGTCCATCTGGCAGGCAGGTGGGTGCCAGGGGGTTCCGGGCTCCAAAGGTTTTCCCAAGGAATATTCCCGAGGCCAGGGTGAGTGAGTCCATGGTAAATCCAAGGGATAAACTCCAGGAGGCTTCAGAGCCTTTGGCACTGCTGCTTTTCCTGGAGGTAATTCCCAATTTAACACCCAATAATTACTATCCAATACCCAATAATTATTATCCAGTATCCAGTGTTTAATATCCAGTATCCAGTGTTTACTATCCAATATCCCATATCCAGTATCCAATGTTTAATATCCAATATTCCCATATCCAGGATCCAATGTTTAATATCCAATATCCCATATCCAATATCCAGTGTTCAATATCCAATATTCCCATATCCAGTATCCAGTGTTTGATATCCTGTAGTTAATTCCCAGCTTAACATGCAATAATTGCTATCCAATACCCAATAATTAGTATCCAGTATCCAGTGTTTAATATCCAGTGTTTACTATCCCATATCCAGTATCCAATGTTTAATATCCAATAACCCATATCCAGGATCCAATATTCAGTATCAGGTGGATTTGGGGACGTCCATCTGGCAGGCAGGTGGGTGCCAGGGGTTTCCGGGCTCCAAAGGTTTTTCCAAGGAACATTCCAGAGGCCAGGGTGAGTGAGTCCATGGTAAACCCAAGGGATAAACTCCAAGTGACTTCAGAGCCTTTTTGTTAGAGTTAATTGCCAGCTTCACACCCAATAATTACTAGCCAATACCCAATAATTAATATTTAGTATCCAGTGTTTAATGTCCAATATCCAATGTTTAATATCCAATATCCAGTGTTTAATATCTAATATCCCATATCCAGTATCCAGTGTTTAATATCCAATATCCAGTGTTTAATATCCAGTATCCCATATCCAATATCCAGTCTTTGATATCCAATATCCAGTGTTTACTATCCAATATCCCATATCCAGTAGCCAGTGTTCAATATCAGGCGGATTTGGGGACGTCCATCTGGCAGGCAGGTGGGTGCCAGGGGTTTCCGGGCTCCAAAGGTTTTCCCAAGGAATATTCCAGAGGCCAGGGTGAGTGAGTCCATGGTAAATCCAAGGGATAAACTCCAGGGACTTCAGAGCCTTTTTGCTTGAGTTAATTCCCAGCTTAACACCCAGTAATTACTATCCAATACCCAATAATTATTATCCAGTATCCAGTGTTTAATATCCAATATCCCATATCCAGTATCCAGTGTTTGATATCCTGTAGTTAATTCCCAGCTTAACACACAATAATTACTATCCAATACCCAATAATTAATATCCAGTATCCAGTGTTTAATATCCAATATCCAGTGTTCACTATCCAATATCTCATATCCAGTATCCAGTGTTTAATATCCAATATCCCATATCCAGTATTCAATGTTTAATATCAGGTGGATTTGGGGACGTCCATCTGGCAGGCAGGTGGGTGCCAGGGGGTTCCGGGCTCCAAAGGTTTTCCCAAGGAACATTCCAGAGGCCAGGGTGAGTGAGTCCATGGTAAACCCAAGGGATCAACTCCAGGAGGCTTCAGAGCCTTTGGCATTGCTGCTTTTCCTGGAGTCAATTCCCAGCTTAACACCTAATAATTACTATCTAATGCCCAATAATTAATATCCAATATCCAGTGTTTAATATCCAGTATCCAGTGTTTAATATCCAATATCCCATATCCAGTATCCAGTGTTTGATATCCTGTAGTTAATTCCCAGCTTAACACGCAATAATTACTATCCAATACCCAATAATTAGTATCCAGTATCCAGTGTTTAATATCCAGTGTCCAGTGTTTACTATCCAATATCCCATATCCATTATCCAGTGTTTAATATCCAATATCCAATGTTTACTATCCAATATCCCATATCCAGTATCCAGTGTTTAATATCCAGTATCCAATGTTTAATATTCAATATCCCATATCCAGTATCCAGTGTTTAATATCCAATAACCCATATCCAGTATCCAGTGTTCAATATCAGGTGAATTTGGGAACGTCCATCTGGAGGTGCCAGGGGGTTCCGGGCTCCAAAGGTTTTCCAAGGAATATTCCAGAGGCAAATGAATTAATGGTGAGGATAAATTCCAGGAATCAACTCCAGGTGATTTCAGAGCCTTTGGCACTGCTGCTGCTTTTCCTGGAGTTAATTCCCAGCTGGAAGGAAATATCCAATATTCAATAGCCAATAATTCACACCCAATAATTGCTCTCCAATACCCAATAATTACTATCCAATAAATAATTAAGAGTATTTAATATCCAATATCTCATATCTAGTAATCAGTATTCAATAACCAATAGCCAGTATCCAGTGTTCCATATCCAATATCCCATATCCAACATCTGATATTCAATATTCAGTATCCCATATCCAATATTCCATATCCAATATCCAGTATTTAATATGCAATACCCAATAATTACTATCCAATAGCCAGTATCCCATATCCAATATTTAATGTCCAATATTTAATGTCCAATATTTAATGTCCAATATCCCATATTCTATATCCCATATTTAATATCCCATAGCCAATATTTCATATCTGCTTCCAGTATTTAATAATGGATATTCCATGATCTATAGCCAGTGTTTAATATCCAGTATTCCATATCCAATACCCAATAATTAATATCCAATAATTAATACCTAGTATTTTAATATCCAGTATCCCATATCCAGTAGTCAGTATTCAATATCCAATAGAAAGTATCCAATATCCAATATTTAATATTCCATATATATATCCAATATCCAGTATTTAATATCCAATACCCAATACTTAATACCCAATAGCCCGTATCCCGTATCTAATATCCAATAATTACTCTCCAATATCCCATATCCAACATCCAACATTCAATATTCCATATCCCAATTTAATATCCCATATCCAGTATTTCCTATCTGTTATTCAGTATTTAATAATGGATATTCCATGTTGTATAACCAGTGTTTAATATCCAATATTCCATATCCAATATCCAGTATTTAATACCCAATAATTAATATCCAATTATGAATACCCAGTATTTAATATCCAGTATCCCATATCAAATATCCCGTATCCCATGTCTAATATCCCATGTCAAATATACCATATCTGTTATTCAGTATTTAATAATGGATATTCCATGTTCTATACCCAGTGGTTAATATCCAATATTCCATATCCAATATCCAGTATTTAATATCCAATACCCAGTAATTAATACCCAATAGCCAGTATCCCATATCTAATATCCAATAATTACTCTCCAATATCCCATATCCAACATCCGATATTCAATATTCCGTATCCCATATTTAATATACCATATCCAGTATTTCATATCTGTTATCCAGTATTTAATAATGGATATTCCATGTTCTATAACCAGTGTTTAATATCCAATATTCCATATCCAATNCTTCCAGTATTTAATAATGGATATTCCATGATCTATAGCCAGTGTTTAATATCCAGTATTCCATATCCAATACCCAATAATTAATATCCAATAATTAATACCTAGTATTTTAATATCCAGTATCCCACATCCAGTAGTCAGTATTCAATATCCAATAGAAAGTATCTAATATCCAATATTTAATATTCCATATATATATCCAATATCCAGTATTTAATATCCAATACCCAATAATTAATATCCAATATCCAGTATCCCCTATCTAATATCCAATAATTACTATCCAATATCCAATATTCAATATTCCATATCCCATATTTAATATCCCTTATCCAGTATTTCATATCTGTTATTCGGTATTTAATAATGGATATTCCATGTTCTATAGCCAGTGTTTAATATCCAATATTCCATATCCAATATCCAGTATTTAATACCCAATAATTAATATCCAATTATTAGTACCCAGTATTTAATATCCAATATCCCATATCAAATATCCTGTATCCCATGTCTAATATCCCATGTCAAATATACCATATCTGGTATTCAGTATTTAATAATGGATATTCCATGTTCTATACCCAGTGGTTAATATCCAATATTCCATATCCAATATCCAGTATTTAATATCCAATACCCAGTAATTAATACCCAATAGCCAGTATCCCATATCTAATATCCAATAATTACTCTCCAATATCCCATATCCAACATCCGATATTCAATATTCCGTATCCCATATTTAATATACCATATCCAGTATTTCATATCTGTTATCCAGTATTTAATAATGGATATTCCATGTTCTATAACCAGTGTTTAATATCCAATATTCCATATCCAATATCCAGTATTTAATACCCAATAATTAATATCCAATTATTAATGCCCAGTATTTAATATCCAATATCCCATATCAAATATCCCGTATCCCATGTCCAATATCCCATATCAAATATACCATGTCTGGTATTCAGTATTTAATAATGGATATTCCATGTTCTATAACCAGTGTTTAATATTCAATATTTCATATCCAATATCCAGTATTTAATATCCAATACCCAATAATTAATATCCAATAGCCAGTATCCCATGTCTAATATCCAATAATTGCTATCCAATATCCCATATCCAACATCCAACATTCAATATTCCATATCCCATATTTAATATCCCATATCCAGTATTTCATATCTGTTATTCAGTATTTAATAATGGATATTCCATGTTCTATAGCCAGTGTTTAATATCCAATATTCCATAATCAGTATCCAGCATTTAATACCCAATAATTATTATCCAATTATTAATACCCAGTATTTAATATCCAATATCCCATGTCCAATATCCCATATCCAGTATTTCATATCTGTTATTCAGTATTTAATAATGGATATTCCATGTTCTATAGCCAGTGCTTAATAGCCAATATTCCATATCCAATATCCAGTATTTAATACCAAATAATTAACATCCAGTTTTTAATACCCAGTATTTAATATCCAATATCCCATATCAAATATCCCGTATCCCATATCCAATATCCCATATCAAATATACCATATCTGGTATTCAGTATTTAATAATGGATATTCCATGTTCTATAGCCAGTGTTTAATATCCAATATTTCATATCCAATATCCAGTATTTAATACCCAATAATTAATATCGAATTTTTAATACCCAGTATTTAATATCCAATATCCCATGTCCAATATCCCATATCCATTATTTCATATCTGTTATTCAGTATTTAATAATGGATATTCCATGTTCTATAGCCAGTGTTTAATATCCAATATTCCATATCCAATATCCAGCATTTAATACCCAATAATTAATATCCAATTATTAATACCCAGTATTTAATATCCAATATCCCATATCAAATATCCCATGTCCTATGTCCAATATCCCATATCAAATATCCAATTTCCAATATCTCATATTCCATATCCAGTATCCCATATCTAATATTTAATTTAAACCTTTAATATTAAATATTCCCTTCAATCCTGA